TCCATTTTGAAAAATGAAAATTTAGAAAAAAGAGGTTATGAGAAATTTATTGGAGCAATTGTTTCCGTTATTAAAAATGTACACTATGGTATAAAACAATAATAACACTCAAAGTACAAAAACAAAGTAAAGTGATGAATAAGGATGACAGGTTCTTCAAAAATGGATACAAGCAAACACAAGGAGGACTCTAACATTCCAAATAATGATGGAGAATCTGAAAAATCAGATTCAATAGAGGTTGTGGCAAAGGAATATAATATTTAATTTAGAAAAACAAAGATATTTAAGGTTTCATTTAAAAAATGAATATATAAATTTATTGTATTTCTATTTAGGTTGACAATTCACATACAGTTCTGTTAAAAATAGCAACATTATATGCAGAACGTCTTATGAATGATATTTGTCTTGTTGTTGATGGTATAGAATATCCAGCACATCGCCTTATACTTTGTGCTTCTAGTGATGTTTTCCAAGTAAGCAAATGTATTTCTAAATTATTATATAGTTTAATAAAATGAGAAAAAAAGCAAATGTTTAGTCTTATTCGGTATGTCATCAAACTGGTAATATAATCTGAAAGAGTGATTTTACATGAAAAGTAAGTGACACACATAGAGTAACATTTTTTAATGCTAAACTTCATGTTTGAATGAATTAATGCTAAAAGTACATTAAAAATGTTTATAGAAATGTAATATTTTGAGTGTAATTATGCTGACAGTAAAATGAGAGTTACTTTAAACAATCTTCATAATAATAAAAGACAAATTTTAAGTCCAAATTATCTTTGTTTTATTTTTTTATCCTTCATTATCTAATATGATCAAAAGTAGTTTGTCTGTGACAATAGTAATGTCTGTTACATTAAGGTATAAGCAATGTTGTATATAAGTGCACGTGTATATATTAAATTCTTAATAGCAACTTATTTGGAAGGAACAATTTGTATGAGAAAATGTTACTCTACCTTTTTATACTTAGTTTATCATGTAGAATGATTCTTATTCAGGTTGTATTACCAGCACAGTGACATCCCTTATATTACATATGCTTAGATTAAATTTCATTAATTAAAGAAATAGAATTTAATTTGTTTAAAAAAAATGTATGTTATTTCATCATAAATGACTAGCATCAAATGTTTGTGAACATGTTTAAACTTTTGAAAGAGAAAGAAGTTTCAACAATTAAACTATTTAAAACTATTTTCTATTTATTATTTATCATATGTATTATATTTTCAGATTTATTATCATTTATCATATTTATTTTATTTGACTAATGTCTTAAAAAACATAACTGAAGAAGAATGTTGTTATGTGTAATATATTAGATAACAGATGTAGAAAAGTTCAGTACTGATTAGTATTGATATAATACATAATACATTATTAATTGATCGTTTATTTTTTAATCTTACAAGAAAATAGATATTCAATTTAGTTTTATAAAACCAATACATTTTTTATATTCATACATCCGTACTTTTTATTTTCACGCATCCAAGACTTAAAGTTTGAATAAAAATGATAGAATACACATAACAAAAAAGAAAACGGACTATCGGAATTCGAATTTGCAAACAAAACAATACAGCATTCTTTTACCAACTGTGCCACGAATTTGCTTGATGGAATGATTTAAATTACAAGAGATAAAGATATTCCATACTTTAACGCTACATATCTCGTAAACTATTAAGCGTCTATGCCTCAAATCATATTCACTCATGCTGGGTTAAATTGAACAAAATCGGGTCCGCTTGTTTAAATTTTCGCGAGCAGGGGTAGCGTTTTGATTCCAGGAATTGGCTATCGAACAATTCGACAACAAGAGACAATATATAAAATTAGAGTAAATGAGATAGACAAAGTATGTCAAGCAGCGGCAGTCAATACTCGGTATTTCACAGGAAAGCAAAAATTTCAATTTCTTCAATTTTTATCGTATTTTTATGAAAATCGTACCAATGAATTAATGAGATTGTCCAGATGAAAGTAAGTCCAAACACGACAAATATCCTGGATTTTTAAGGGTGCTTTTAAAAATGATTACTGTTAAGACTAGTCCGATTTATATCGTGTTTGAACTCATTTCCACCAGGAGAACCTTACCAATCCATTGATACTATTTTCATAAAGATAGCATGACAATTATAGAAATTAAAATTTTTTGTATTAGCTGATTCAGTGCAACACAGGGGGTATCCCTTTCAAGTGCTGTGTCTCGCTTATTCTTGTTACATGTATTTACTTTCCTTGTCGATATGTTTAAATTTGTTGAATTTAAATACAGAATGGTGGGGGAAGAGTGGGAATGGTTCGTTTCAATTTATTTACTGGTCTTCTTAAAGTTGGTGATCGGGGAAGAAAAATGCAAGAAAAAGTCCCACAGACATGGTGTCAAAAATGAATACTTAATGAAATATACGTTTTCAAAGATTAGTACTACTTATGCCACAAAGTTATAATAGCGATCTTGTGTTTGTTTAGCCATTTTACGGGAACAATTTGCCGAATATTATGACAAAATATAATATAGATAATCAGAAAGAACATAAATAAAATGAAAATGCAAAAACTGAAACTTTTACTATGGTAAACTATCTTCCTTACTGTGAACTTGCTGAGCAATTGACACTTTCACGCTACGGATAGACAGAATATCTAGTAAAATCATCATGTTTATTTTTTATACATATAAACAACAGATAAACGTTATCAAAATGTTCTAAAGTTGATCTAATGTAAGCGCGATAGGGTGTATAGAAATTGAACCACCTAATGTGATCACCTTAGATTATTCTGCTGTTAGTGGACCGGTCGAAATTTTTTTTGTCACATAATATGATTCAGAAACCTTTTGACCTTAAAAAAATTTCGATCAATCCACTGATAACAGAATAATCTAAGATGATCATGTTACGCGGTTTCTCCTGTAGATCGGATCGTTTACATCTTCAAGTAGGTGATGCGTGCCGAGTTAAAACTCCTTGTAAAGGGTTAAAAATGATCAATACTGAATTTAATAAAAAAAAAAAAAAAAGCAAACTTAAACTATTGTAAAAGAATATTAATTCACCACAAAGGCAAGAGATAGTATTAAAAAATAATTTGCTTTAATTTACAAAAATTTATGATATTATAATTCAATATAGTTACAGTTGAAATTTTTCAATAATAGTAATAATATCTTAATACCTTTGTTTTATATTGAAAACATTCTTTTATGAATTACTTTGTATTACAGAAGAATAGATTTTTAAATGTCACTTATTATTATTTCTTTCAATACAGGTAATGTTAATGAGTCCCCAGTGGAGTGAATCTCAAGAAAGTAGAGTAACCCTCCAAGAAACGCCACAATGTGTACCTATATTTAGTGAGTTTTTGCGGTACTTTTACACTGGTCAAATAAGAATTAATTATGGAGTTGTTTTACCAATATTATCTTTAGCTGATAAGTATAATGTTAAGGATTTAATAACACTGTGCCTTGACTATATGCAAAATCATATTGCATTAGCTGCCATACATGGCACTTTAGTATCATGGTTACAATATACTTCAAATTGTGGTCATCATAATATTACTCAAGCATGTCTAAATTTTATTAAATGGAATTTGGAATTGGTGGCTAAAACTGCAGATTTTGGGAATTTTGATTTGGATATTTTAGTAACATTGCTACATCAAAGCAGTTTAGTAGTAAAGGATGAGATGACATTGTACAAATGTCTAGAATCTTGGTTGGAACATCAAGCAAATCGTTTAAAAACTCAATTGACGCAGGACGAATTAGAAACCACATTAGAACAGTTGGTAATAGCTGTAATGTCTTCTGTTAGATTTCCAATGATGTCCCCTCGGCAGTTAGCCGAATTGCTTTTATTTCCTTTAACAAAGAAGTATAAAGAATTTTTTGTGGAACGTATGTCCATAGGAATGTCATTTCATTCTGGTCACTTAGATAGAGTTAAAGAAGTGAGTTTAAATAAAGAAGATGGCGCGTTACTGTTCGAACCAAGATTATACACTGTAGATACATGTAGTTCATTACTTACAATAGAAAATTTTCATGGTTTACCTTCTTATCACACAAGAACGCTCGTGTTTTCGAGTCATTCGTCTTTAGCAGAGTATGCTGGTGATCGTGCGTGTGAATGGGTTGTAGATATATATCCGAAAGGAGTTTGGTTTAAGAAGTTTTTCTGCATAGTGTGGCATGGAATGGTAGAAATGCCTGAACATGTAAAACGATCGGTCAGATTATCACTTACATGTAAAGAACCGCCGGTAAATAGCGATGCTGACATGCGAGTGAAGATAGGCGTTTTAATTTACGGATTACAGGATGGCGTTGAGCACATTGCGAGAGTAACAGAAATCATTCATAGGTTTAGTCTTGAAGAACGTGTTCTTAATTTAGACGATCTTTTGCCATTCGAAGAACTCAATCCGCAGCAGGGTTCAGTGCCGGAAAGTACATCTCCTTTTCTAGTAGGTCCAAATAAAGATATGCTCAAATTGCATATTGTTATATCACCAGCTAATTAAGCCAGATAGATCTTTTAAATTGTACCAAATACAATTTCATAACACATTTTGAATATATTAGACTTATAAAAAGTTGTCTTTATTAAGCCAAACTTCTTATGTTAGAATTTTTCTCATTTTCGTAAACAGACACTTTAATATCAGACGAATTGTAAAATAAAGTTTTGTATTTAAATGACATATGCAAACAAAGTATGTAATAAAATATTAGAAGTTTTAAAAATGTATTATGTATTTTGCTTATATTAATCTTTTCTAAGGCGATCATTGATTAATTAACGTTATATTCAATAATTTGATGTTTAAAATGTATATGAGAATACGCACATATAGCATTTTATTAATGTTAAATTGTTTTTAGTTACTAATCAAAAAAAATATTTTGTACTATAGTAAGAGATTGGTTAACTCCTTTTGCTATTAAAAGTCACTCCAATGGCCTTTCGTAGACCCATTTCTCTGTACAAATGACAAACAGACGGTCACTATAATACACAGCTGAACCAATATTAATTTATCTATTATTGTAAAGGAAAAACTATACACAGAATATGTGCGCGCAGTTCATTGTACCGTACTATGAACGCGTAGAGACCAACTCTGTCGTAGCGAAAGGGTTAAATCAAAGCAATCATCTGATCTAGTGTGAAAACACATAGAATGGAAGTATGGCTATACACCTGAGAATGATAAAGAATTAATATTCTTCGATAATTGAATTTGTTGTGTATTGCATTGTTAACTTGTAAACATACGCAAATTATTTCAATCATTTGTTATATGATTTCAAGATCTTTTATGACTTGTGTTAATTCTTTCTGTGCAATATTATAGTATTTCCACGTAATTTTATTTTTTTTCTAAAGCGCGTTTTTAATCTTGATTTACTGTATATGGACAGGAATTATATCTAAATATAGTACTAGCTTCAACGTATCTATATAAATTTATACATTACATAATTCCTCAAAATAGATACTTGGTTTGAGCACAAATTTTTTAATTTTGAACGAATGAACTGGGTGCTATTGCGTGCGCCAATTTGATTCCCATAAGTGAAGTATGTACCCTAAAGAAGGAAAAACATTCACGGTTGAATATTAAGTTGTACAGATATAAAACAGTCTGCCTTTTTTATTTTGCAATAGTGTTTTTTCTGGAATTTTTGTAAAAGACAGAAAAATTTCGACAACGAAAGCGAAAAAAAGGTACTAGGTGCGATTACTGTTTGCAAGCAATGACTGTACTGTACTTTTTAGTCATTTATTAGTCTGTTAATCTATGCTTGTGAATTTCTCTATATGGACATTCACAATACCTATGGACTTTTCAATGGATACCCGCGGACGAAATTGGTGGAGTATATGTAGACTTTTTTGTAGAAAATCGCAGTGTGTGTATGAAAATTTTTCAAGAAAATCAGTGTCTGTACTTATGAATTAATTTCTTGGGTATACTTAAAAAAAATTATAAAAAGTATTAATTCTGTCCACTTGAAAATGTCCTTGTGGATATCAGTAAGTAGAAAAATCAAATTTCGTAAGATTCTTTTCTGCAAATTTTACAGGGTAAGCTGGAAACCATGCATCATTGATTTTGAAAACTACTGACTCCTCTTGCTGTGAGCTGCCCAATATTCACTGATATTGGGCAGATTACTACAAAATTACAAGGCTAATTTTTAATTTTTTATAACTAAATAATGAAACCAAATTCAACATTTGTTTATTAATGATTTTTGTCTTATAATTCTATAATCATCCCTTGAAATTTTTCCTGTCTGTTGCTGAACCCCCTGTATATCAAACAAATAAATACTAATCGCATTGAGTTATTTAAACTTAGCTCTCAAAAAACTATATAACTTATAGGAAGGCCTTATAGAAAGATTTCATTTCTATCAGTTTCTTGTTATTTGTTACCTTGGAAAAATGTTCTAAAGCATCCATTACTTATCTTATCTTCAGTATATTTCTTAACATTAATCACTGTGATAATCATAAGATACACTTTTATAAAATATTTAAAAACCTTTAATATGTTGCTGCCATCTTTGTAAACATGCATTTTTTTTCTTTTTCTTTAAATCAACATTCATAATACGTAATTTTAATAATTCTATCCAATTTTAGCAGAAAATCGTAATAAAATAATAATTTACTTTATTTAAATTTCCCGTGTTGCCCGGAAGAAATATACAGCAGAACTCAAAATAACTCAAATAATTAGGTTCTCACGAAGACGTTCGCTTGCGACGGACTCTTTATCAACAACCTTTATACTGACGCCGAGTGACCCTTTTATTACAGTTGTTAATAGTTATTTATTTTTGCACACGGTATATTTCACGTTGACTCTGCAACTTTCCAGGATTTTCTAGAATCTTATAATTACCTACCCACACACATCCATTCTTAATTGCATTTTGTCAATTACGCTACACATGTCACGTGTCACAATAATGTGCGGAATTAAAAAAAAAAAAGAAAGAAAGAAATGAAATAAACTATTATTTTTTTATTGTTATTTAAATTATGTAAATAATATGAAAAATATTCGTAGAGTCACTAGCACCGCCTAAAGTTGGCATAAATTCCTATGTCCAGCTATTATAGATTCAATTGTGCGCGAATATGCATATCCACTTCCGTGGTAATCGCCAACCGAAATGAAGGAATACATATAATTACTTCTGATGCAAACCGGTTAAAGGTACCAATTATTAACAATTTATATCACGTATATGCGAAATATGTATATATTTTAAATATATCTATATGTGCATGTTATTAATAATAAGTGTAGGTATATATATATATATGTTACAAATATATTTTACTGAACATACAAATTTTATTATTTTAATATGAACTTCATCTTGAATAAGAATATTGTATATATCTACGGATATATACTTAAATAATAATTATAAATGTCAAGTATATAGAATGATCCATTGTAATGTATAAATGCTTACATGTATAATGTACTGTTGAATTGAAAAAATTGCTTTTAGGAGATTAAAGAAGGTGAAGGGGGACACTAAAGTGTGTAGATGTAAATTCACTTAGTGGAAGTATTGAGATCCTTTAAAGGTAGCAGCCCCTATTTTATGTATGTAACAATTGCGGTGTGTGCAATTTGCTAATTACTTATTAGGACAGGCTGATGGACTGGATAAGACAATTTCACTCGAAAATCCCATATGGCGGGCTTTGATATGCTCTTATGAATTTTTGCGAGTAGCAGGTTTAATTTTTTTTCTCATGATCTCGCTGGATCATTTACGGTGCCGAATGTCACAGTTTTCTTCTCGACGTACGAGGTAAGCTACTACCGGCCATATGTCGTTCGTTTTGAGAATCACTGTGCTACCCTTGTTTTGACCTACCCTGTACTGGCTAGTGTCAGAAGGTTGACTCAGTTACAAAGCCTCAAACGCAAATTTTTATTCTTGATTTTCGTTTTATACAACCTACATGTTACCCTGACCTTAAAAAATCCCTGGAGATGTGTTAAAACTAAAACATACTATGTATATTTATAGATAATAAAAATATTTATAATAAACACACATATGCATACTTATTGTTATTTTTCAATTCAAAATATACCAATTTTGACAATAATGTAAAGAAAATAAAAGGGAAAAAGGATCATGATAATGAGGTTTTACTTCTCATCTTAAGTTAAGTAAGTTAATAGTAAAATTCTATGTCTTACAGTAATACTGTAAGTAGTACACTACAAACATTTGGAATGGAATTGGATTCATTTAAACTGCAGATAATTCAGAAAAGGCAAAATCAATTAGAATTTAAGATTATCAATCAGGTTGAAATAATTAATTTTATGCTACAATCTAGGAATAGAATATATAAAAGTCATTTTTATTTCAGTTATTTCCTTAAGACTATTAAAAAAGTTTGGTTTCAGCATTTTTCCTAACATAAGTTCCACATAATATACAATACACTGATATAATCTCTTTTATCAGAAACGTAAAATAAAATAGTGAATATTGGTGCAGTCATAACGTTCAAGGTTTTAGACACATAATATAAAATTATACTATTTAAATAATTGGAAAAGATTTTGGTTAAGAAATTAAGAAAATATACATAATTCCATTCCTCTTTATATGGTAAAATCATTCCTTCAAGGAATTTATGTCACCATCACGGAGGGAATGATACAATTGTTGACATTAATGATAATGCAAAGATCTAATAAACTAGAAAATTTTCTTTGAAAATCGAGAACTATGTTAAATAAACGATGAAATAACCCAAACTTAACTTAAAACTAAGAATCTATCTCGTTAATCTAAATTGTAATATGCATTACACGTTATATACATACATGTATTTATAAGGTTATAATACAATATTTATGTGGCGCATGTTACATACAGAAGCTTAAAAATCATAGAATTTCTTAACTTTTTATTGAAATCTAACACTATTTATATGAAAAAAGTCCTAAATTGTACAAGTTTGATTCTGTTTCATATATTACGTACACAATTCATAACGTATACTTTCAAACATAACAGTGAAGATTATATTGC